TCTTGCTATTCTATGACCACAGTAATTTCTCTGATGCTCGGGAATCTCCTGTCCCCAAATTTTATAATCCCCTTCCTCTCCTTTCTCCTTTGTCAATGATTCACAATGTGGGTGCACCTCACATTCAGTCAGTAGACAATCATATCCAGTAAACTATACCATCTGGCCTGTAAAAACCTTCAGATACTATAAATTATTAGCTTTCTAAGTGAAAAAATACTTCCCAAATCTGGTTTAACTAAAATGGTAACTTCCAACTTGCAAGATACTCCTTGAGAGTTGATGTTCAAGTAGTGAATGATAAGGTAACTCTAAAGTAAGATTTACAAAAGGCGAAGCTTACCAGTTGATGGAGGGTAGAAGGGTGAGCAGGCACAGGGAAGTGACCTGTCAAAAACATTCTAAACGAGTTGCATAAGGCTGAGGTAAGCTATACCTTTGACCCACCTCATTCTTTTATTATATCTAAGATTGTGCTGGTTTCAACAGCTTACACGAGGTATATTTCCACTCTTCTAACTCTCAACCAGATTAAATGTTCAAATTGGCTTATCAAATAAAAACCAGAGCACACGGGGCACATCCATGAACAGATTTGTAAGAAACAACACAAGTAGACCAATTTAGCCCTTAATTGCTCCTATTAGTTAAGAAGAAAAATACTCTCCCTCCCCAGGCTTTTGGTGGGAATTGTTATAAAACATTAATTAAAAAAAAAAAAGTGCCACAACAACCCAATTTCAATGTTTTCAAATTTTACATAATCTATAAGATACACGTAGCACCAAAGAGAGTAGGAGAGGAAAGTGAAGAAAATACAAATGCTCTGGATTTTCCAATACATAAACACGCGGAAACAGCATATACTAAGAGAATTGTATATAGGTAAAACCTGACCACTCTTTTGAGATTTACAGTTTGTTAAAGTAACATTACACAATTAAGTATCATGATAAAAAAATAAACGCCAAAGTATAATGTGAATCACAAGCTTTGGTTACTTTGCTAAATTCTAGGACTAGACCACTCATCAGAAAGCAAAGAGGATGTGTATTTTATCGCCGACTGCTAATGATACATGAAAACAATCTGAACCTGTTAGGACATTCATCATTTAGCTTCATGGCACTCATCCTTTCTTTTTTTAATCCTCACCTGAGGATATGTTTTTCTTCTTTTTTTCCTTTTCTTTTTTTTTTAGTGTGAGAGGGAGGGGAAGAGAGAGAGAGAGAGAGAGAGAAACATCAATCAGTTGCCTCCCATATGTGCCCCAACCAGGGATGGAAACTGCAATCAAGGTTATGTGCCCTGACGGAGAATCAAGCTGGCAACCTTTCGGTGCACAGGACAACACAACTGAACCACTCTGGCCACGTCCTCCTGAGTTATTAATTTTCCTTGAACACCGTGTTTTCCCTTTGTAGCACATGCCACACAGTCATTAATAATGTCTGTACTGCTCTGTATCCCTATCTACACTTCTGACATCATGGAGGTTGTGTGGGCTTTGCTGAGTGACCTCCTACGTCTTGGACCTAGAATGACCTGGCACACAGAGGTGTTAAGTAAACATTTATTCAGTGAATGTTTGAGAACAAAACGCCAACCAATGGTGCCCATTCCATACACCCAGATAATAAAAGCTTAGAAATGAAGTAAAGGAACATCAGGTCATCAAGTCTGGTGTTCAGCACATCACTGTTCTCAACATGAAGCTGAGAAAAGCTTTTCCCTGGCAAGTGACAGTGCGAAAGGCAGTAACTGCTCCACAGTTTTCTGTGAGTCATTTTACAGCTTTCAAAACCTTTCCATCATCTGGTGGTCTCATGATGAACGTGGCCAAAGAAGTCATACAGCACTCTGTGGTTCGAAATGAATGCTTTAAAGAATTGTGACAGGTATGTAACCCATTTATTCTGAGTTTTTAGAAATGACACAGACTATCTGGAACTTTCTTTAGTGCTCACTGCATAATACTCCCTCTGCAAACTATCTGGGGCAAAGTCCTATTTTTTTTATTTTATTTTTTTATTTTCAGAGCTCTGAAATGAACACTGACTCCAAATAAAATCTTCAGGCATTGGAGAATATACAGCAGCTCTATTTTCTCAAAGGACAAAGAGAGGCAATCCGAGAGCTTCTGTTGAAAGGGGGTCCCCAGGGGTTGTGGGTAAACTGACCTACACCTCTAAGGTTCCAAAGTAAACTTCTAAAACCACTTCAGAGGTAGATAGCCTCCAGAATTCTGTAAAGGTGAGAGTGGGAGGAAGACGTTAGTTTAAATAATAAGCTCTAAAGCTCTTTGATGGTTACATTTTTTTAATGTACCATGACTATATGAACATTCATACATAGAAAGACCACAGGATGGATTAGAATCTGGGCAAATGACATAATAAAGCTCTTCAAAGTCTGCACAGAGCAGAAGTTAAGCAGGGACTCATACAGGTTCCTATTATCTTTATTCTTTCTGAGTAATCTGACTTAAAACAGTTTCTGTTTTAGGGATCATGAACACCTCATACTGTAACTTAACTAGCTTATATCTAATCCTATGATTACTGAATTCTAGACTAGGACAGGTCAAAGCCAATGTAAGTTTTATTTCAAAGCCTTGAAATGAAGTGAGCAAAGTACTTGTTTTGAAGAAAGACTTTGTTCCATCTTTCTAAGTAATACATTTGGAAATCTGGATTTGCAGCAGTAACATATCTTCATCCAATTTTATGAAAGTCAAAGGGTCTGATACACACACAGTACTCTAATCTGAGTCACATAATAATGTTGTGAAATAGGCAAGCCAAGGACTTTACAGATGAAGAACATAAAGTTCCAAAAGGTTTCGTTTGTTGACCCAGGGTCATAACTTAGAAAATGGAAGAAGTAATTAGGGTTGGAAGGGTTTCTGATCCTGAGATCATTGCTATTTCTAAAGAGCTATACCATTCTGGCCCCTCCCAAGCTAGTGTTCATTTTTTATCCCTCACCAAAACAAGCAACAAGATAGCATGTCCATAACTTCAAGTATATAAAGAACATAGTATATTAAAAAGGATAAAACATTTCCCTCAAAATACAAGTCATGTCCCCATGTGGTTTCAGGTCTCGAAACCTTCTAAAATTATGGTCTACTATTCTTGGTCTTGTGTCAAGCTTACATAGAGAGCATAACTTTGCATCAGAAAATAACAAAAATATGTTTCCTCTTCTTATGAAAGACCAGGGACCTTCCTAACAGCACAAGAATCACTAAATCCAGTTGCTCCATATTCTGAGGTTAGCACCAAAAAGTGGGATAAAACTCAAAGCATAATCTTTTCTGTTTAGTAGGGTGGGGGCAATGGGATGAAAGAAATTCTGTTAACTACTGAATGAGTGAGGGCAAGGTGAGGGTGAGGGCTTCTTTGTCTTTAACTTTTGTTTTTTATGAGTGGCTCAGTTTTCTGAAGGGGTAAGAGTTCAATTCTTTATGTAAAAATACCTTAAGTATCTGTGAATCCTCGAGTTCAATAGGAATAAAAAAATCTACGTTAAATTCTTTAACTTCCCAACTCTGTTTTTTTTATCTCTAATGTACACTGTGCTGTTACATTTGCACAACTTCCAAGTGAAAGAGAGAAAAGCCTATCAAATACCTTCCACAGAACATAAGGGTCGAAGCAGGATTAACCCATACAATACGTTAACTCTGATCTCTGGTAGCAAACACACTTTATTCTAGAAAGTCAGCCTTGTTCTTTGAGGTCAGTGGTTTTCAACCCTGGAGACATATATTAAAATGAGCTTTTACAAATACTCTCCCCCAATCCTGCTCCAAACCAATGAAATCAAAATCGCTTTAGAGTAGAGATGGGCTAGTTCTAGGGGTGGGCTAGAATCAAAAGCCTCTGGTCTAAGTGCTTCGCCCCCAGTTTCAAATGCCCCAACAGGAGGTCATTTTCATATTTTCCTGTGCAAGAAATAGTCACAATACCAGGACTAACAGTGCCCATGCTTAGAAACATCAGAATTTCATCAGCTGAAGGAGTTTATTACTTAGATATAAGCAGATACTCTTAAGTTAATCACAAATAATACACTTAAAAATACTAGTCAAATACCAACATCCAGAAAAGGGGAAAAAATTTAAACCAGAAAATTATTTCTTTTAATTTTTTATAACTTCATATAACTATGTAATGCTCATTTACACATGGTTTAGGTATTAAACCATATTTAAAATGTTATCTTCCCCTGACTAGTAGCCAATCTTGTAAAATATTTGATTTTTGGAATTTTCCCATAGATATAAGTTAGTAAAGGCAAATAAAGAAACCAGAAGTACAAGACATCCTATTACACAGGTATATGAAATAAGTTCAAAGGGGAGTTTCCACTGCTCAGAAGACAAAAGACTTCTCAGAAACATTAGTGCAATCGGATTGCTCACTTCTTACTCAACCCGGTACTGCTGAAAAGGAGGTTGCTATGTTCCCACCTTAACTGCCTATCTGTTGTTCCTGTGACAGCTGGAGTCAACAAAGATAAGTTTGGCTTCTGGAAAAACCAAAATGCCAAGCTTCTTTATTTTAAAACCTGTTCTGAAACTCTTCCGTATTATCTGATTCTATGAATTTTGCAATAGCTACATATTAGTTAAAGCTGGAGAATGAGTAACTAAACCAGGTCTAAATTGTATGCTTAAGCAAACAGAAAAATAAAAACAAGTTTTAGGAAATTTTTAGGCCTAAGGAGGCTCAGACTGAAGTCTAATACCAAAAGATGCAGGAAAATCTAAAATAGAAGTAATGTCCTAATTAAATGTGGGTGGCCTAACTGGAAAAAATATTTAAGATTCCTACTCTATGAACTTCCTGATTAAGAAGACATGAATGGCTGCTACAGAAAAAACTAATAAGGAAATACTAGTAATAAAGGTTAGAGAAGAATTTTGATTCTGTGTTTTTATTTCTAGGTCAGAGTTGTAACCAAATATAACGAGGTGAGTGGTATAAACTTACATGATTTATCGTCGACTGAACAGCCTTTACATAATGATTTAGTTCCCGATCCATCATAGCAAATTCAACCATCGCCTTATCCATACTGTATTCACTACTCACTTCAGCTGAAAAAAAGAAAATGCAATTATTATTTTCCATTTAAAATGCCATATCTGAGAAAAGTTGCACCAATGTAATGTATATCAATCAATGCTCTAAATGATTTTGTGAAGGTATTACATGTTTTTTAAAACTTCCTCAACATATAGGTGCTTCATTCAAAATTCTAAGAACACACCCAGTTGAAAAAGGCTCAAAGGCAAAAAGGTGGACTCAGACTCAGGGGTTCCAGGCTCTGCCACTTACTTGTATGATCTTAAACCAATCACTACACTTTTCCCAGCCTCAGCTCCCTCATCCCCTAAAGCACCCCAGTCATCTACCTACACATTGACTTCACAGGACTGTTAAAGACCAAATAAGGAAGATTTCCACGTCTAATAACAGTAGCTTGGGTTATGCAGGCCAATCCTCCTTTTGAAGACAACTAAAACGATTGGGAAAAAGAAATCTTAAAAACAAAAGAGCCACGAGATAGTAAGAAACCATCAGCGCAAAATCTGGGGGGAAATGAAAAAGACAAGCAAAGCACCAAACCAAGCCCTGTAGTCAGCTGGGTTCCCTTCCTCAGAATAAAGATGAGCCGGAAGTAATCCCATCCTGTTCCTGGCTGCGGTGGGGCTGGCCTTGTCCACTGAGCAGAACAGAGGGCAGAGGGAGAGAAAACCACCTGCTTCTGAAACACTGTGGCCACAGCCAGCCCTCCAGAACTTGCAGCCTGGGTCCCCCTCACCTGAGTGGTCCTGGGGACCTAAGAACTTCTGATCTTGGGGTGGTCCCAGAGTGAGGGTACCCACACGTACTCTCCTCTAGAGAAGTCACTCATCCTGGGCCTCAAATAATCCCAATAAATAATCATTAAGGATAATGAACAGATTACAGGGGGAGGAGGGAACCTTACCCTAAAACACACAAGCCACCAAGAGTAAGAATCAGCAGAAACAGATCCACAATGTTTCAGATGTTGGGATTATCTATCAGAATATGAAGCAGCTACGTTTACTATGCTTAAAATTTTAAAATATCCTCGGGGAACACGAGAATAAACAGTGACCAGAAGACTGGAAAAGTGTTTTAAAACAGTTTTCTTAAGCTCTAAACACAAAGGAAAAGAGAAAGAACAGAGGATAATAAACATTTGGAAATGCAGTCACTCAAAGGCCCTTCATTCAAATGTTGGTATTTCTTGTCTACGCTGAAGATCAGTATGTCATATCGTCCCAAAGCATGAAATAATAAAATCCACTTACATTTGGCTTTTAAAAATGATTTTCCTAGTCTTTACCATTAGTCTTTAATTTTACAATAGTTAATTATAAACACATCCCGTAAAATATATCCAGAGTTAATCTGCTTCTGGGAGAATACCTCTTGGTTTATAATATCATTTGATAAAATGTTGACAACCTTTTGAAAGCACTTAGTAATGTGCCTTTGACATGAAAATGCTATGAAAAGTTTTGCAAAGTAAAATAAACAGGATGATGGTTCTCATTATCAAGGTCCCATGGATAATAGCAGGAGTTGAATCAGTTAGCAATTTCAAATACAAAGCCAAGAGACCCTCCCTGTAAAGGAGAAAGTGAGCAATGGCTGGGTCTTTCAGGCAGCCTCAGCTAAAGTTCCAGGGCCCAGGAATGCGGGGACAAGCTGAAGAACCTCTCTGATGAATGGTGCAGCCTGAGGCAACAAAGGGAAAACACCAGAAGAGATCAGGAAGCTAGTCCTAAAAATAACTGAGAATCACACCACACCTGGAAGTGATGTCGTCAGATAACTTCAGGCTAAACCCAGTGTCTTGGTCTATTGCAGAGACCAGAGACTGAAGACAAGAACCAGCAGAGATTCCATAATGGTTTCTGGGAGACAGGCCATGAGAATGTCCATATCAAGTTGCAAACCTACCTCCACTATTTAAATATTTAAAATTATTTTTGTGATTCTTTTTATTCTTCTGTTAATCCTTATTTCTCTTATTATTGCAATCATAACCCTTTTTCTTAATACAGTGGGGCCTTGACTTACGAGTGTCCCGACTAACGAGTTTTTTGAGATACGAGCTGTCTCTCGGCCGATTTTTTGCTTTGAGTTGCGAGCTACAATTCGGGTTAAGAGCCAGCTTCAGATACCCCACCGCTAGTTGGCGCAGCGAAAGTCACAGTGAATGCCACAACATCAGCCCAGTATCACGTGTCTCACTCGTTCACTTTTTTATTTGACATACGAGTAATTTGAGTTACAAGCTCCATCACGGAACGAATTAAACTCGTAAGTCAAGGCCCCACTGTATATATTTTTATTGATTTCTGAGAGGAAGGGAGAGAGGGAGAGAGAGAGAGAGAGAGAGAGAGAGAGGAGGAGGAGGAGGGAGAGAGGGAGGGAGGGAGAGAGAGAAACACCAATGATGAGAGAGAATCATTGATCGGCTGCCTCCCATATGCCCCAGACTGGGGATCAAGCCCATAACCCAGGCCATGTGCCCATGTGCCGTGACTGGGAATCGAACTGTGATCTCCTGGTTCATAGGTCAACGCTCAACCACTGAGCCGTGCCGGCCAGGCTATAACCTCTTTTTTTAAATGTTATTTGGGTTCATGTTTCAGAAACACTAGGCTAGGGAAGACAGAGAATCTGTGTCTTTTTCTACTAAAGAACTGTAGAAAAAGAAAAGCATATTGTTGCATAAAAAAAGCCAACAGGCCAAATAAATCCCAAAGAATTCATGAATTCAGAAGAGAAAAAAGGGATGAACAAATAAAAAGGGAGTTGGTTGTTGACTAAAAAAGTGGTTGGGAGTAGGGGAGTGTGGAAGGACTGACCAGCCAGAGGTTCCTGCTCCTTTATTCCACAGTATATCATCCCACTATCAAAAACCTCCCACTTATCCCACTCCTGACACCAAAACAAAAGACAAAACCCTCCCTAAAAATTTACAGGGAAAGCCCTTCCTAAAAATCCACACCAACCAAATTCTACACTGCACATCCTTCGAGGACTGAGCACAAGCCCCACTTGCTTTTAAACTATGTCAGCCTAGAAGGATAGCGCTTAATTTACTATAACTATACTTGATATTTTGGCACTATTAACCATAAATAATCTTGTCTTTTTATATGCATTCATTTCTCCAAACAAATTATAATCCATTTATGGGCAAGAATGATGCCTTAGTGTTTTGGGGCTCCAACAAAGAATTATAGCACCTCTTTCTTCAATATTGTTATATGGCCATTTAATTTAATAAATTTGGAAATTAAACCTTTGCCAACTATAAATTGTCCTGCCTCAAATATTTCAATTCAATTAAAATATGAAGAAAACATGATATAGATTCATTTGCCTATTATATTTTCATTGTGATTTTTCTATAAGAAAGAGGCTGGCACCAATAAAGTGGGGGGAAGGGGAGAGAGCAGGAAGGAAGAGAACCACACAAATGATGTTAAAATTCACAGAACGACAGTTCCAGAGAGGGAAGTACTTCTGTACTACACTCTGCAAACCTGGCATTAGAGAAAATTGGTGCAGATGATAAAGCATGGAAACTAATGACAATGATGAAAAAAGTATATAATAACAGTAGCTGTAGCTAACAATTAATAAACACTTTATTATGTGCCAAGACTGTATGAGCGCACCATATTTACCTTAAGCCTCACAGCAGCATGAAGAGACGGAGAGTTTTATCTCCACTTCATACATGAGAAACTGAAGCACTGAGCTGGTGAAGTGACTTGCCCCAGGCAGAGGCCACCTCCAACTCAGGCTTCCTTTCTGTAAAGTCTGTACACCTGCCACCTACACTAAAGGTGCTTAAACACAAGGACAAGCACCCAACTCCTCCAAGAATATCTACCAAACAAACCCTCAGGGGGAGAAAGTCAGGGCCCTAACTTCATTTTAGCTCCCTGGTGATCCCTTCCAAGTAGGACACTAGGTACTGCCATTCAAATGGTATTAGACCTGGTCCTGGAAAAGCTTTTCCAAATTCCTTAAGGAGAGGAAACTGATAAAATAATAATTTCCCCTTTTTAGAAGATTACAGTTGACCCTTGAACTACATGGGTTTGAAACGCACATGTCCACTTGCACACAGATTTCTTTTAAATTACTGCAAATGTATTTTCTCTTCCTTATGGTTTTCTCAGTGACATTTTCTCTAGCTTACTTTATTATCTTACAGTGTATAATACATATAACATACAAAATATGTGTTAATTGACTGTTTATGTTATTAGTAAGGCTTCTGATCAATGGTAGGCTAACAGTAGTTAAATTTTGAGGAGTCAAAAGTAATACATGGGTGTATGTTTTTCCCATTGATTTTTAGGGAGAGTGGAAGAGAGAGAGAAAGACAGAGAGAAACATCAATGTGAGAGAAACACATCGATTGGTTGCCTCCTGCACAAGCCCTGATCAGGGCCCAGGCCGGGGAGGAGCCTGCAACCAAGGTACGTGCCTTGACCAGAATAGAACCCGGGACCCCTTGGTCCGCGGGCCAATGCTCTATCCACTGAGTAAAACCAGCTAGGGCCAGTAAATACATGGATTTTAAACTGTGTGGAGGTCAACAACCCTAACATCCACGTTGGTTAAGAGTCAACTGTACTGTTTGTTTTTTTAATTCAATTTATTTGCGTGACATTGGTTAATAAAATTATATAGGTTTCATGTGTATAATTCTATAATGCATCATCTGTATATTGTATTTTGTGTTCACCACCCCAAGTCATTTATCCCTCTCTTTGCTCTCTTCTCCCTCACCCCATCCCTCTTGCCCTCTGGTAATCACCATATATTGTCTGTGTTTATGAGTTGTTGTTTTTTACTTACTCCCTTCACCTTTTTCACCCAGCCCCTCAACCCTCCTCCCCTCTGACAGCTGTCGGTCTGTTTTCTGTATACATGAGTCTGTTTCTATTTTGCTTGTTAGTTTATTTTGTTCAATAGATTTCACATGTAAGTGAAATCATATGGTACTTGTCTTTCTCTGACTGGCTTAGTC